CAGAGAAGGGGCAGGAGCAGGGGGTAGAACCCTCACGCCATTTGGAGATTTAAGACTGGGAGTGTAAGAGCCATATCCACTGTCAGCTTCGCTATGGAGGCTCATCTTGTCCAGGTGATCCGGGTAGTCATAATCTGGTCCCATCAGCAACATGGGGCGGGCAGTATGAGGTAGATGCTCAGTCTCTGGAGTCTGCACTACGATGGTCCGAGCACAGGGCAGGCAGACATTATGTGAGCAGGGCAAGATCAGGGGCTCCCGAAAGAAAGAACCACACACCGGACATTTTAGCTCTTCTTCCATGGCTTTTGTTTAAATTTCTCCTTTTCTCTTACAAACTGGGATTGATTATGAGGGGATATATAAATGGATACCTGAAAATGGGGTGGAAATTATATAAGACGTGCAACGCTAGGCTAGAAATGGCGGAAACCAGTAAAATAAATCACTACAATTAATAGGCTAGGATGAGAAAGAGACAGAGCTGACAACCGTGTAAACCTGTGTTACAATCAGAGAACGCGCAGAAAAACGAACACTAACAAGCAATATATTGATGGGCATATAAAAGAGAGAGCTCATACTATGAGTAAAAATTGCATTAAAAAATATATAAAAGATTTGCTGTGAATTGCAAGAGCTGTGATCTATCCGCTTCTTCCAGTGAAAAGCAGAATATTCAGTGTAGACAGAAAGGACGGTGGGTTCAGCAGCACACATCCATGGACAGCGCCTTATTGCTGACAGAAAAACTACTTGCTGTTGCCACCGCTGCTGGGCTCTGTGACCTTGATTAAGCCGGGTCCTGTGGGTCTGGCCACTGTGAATTCAGCGTGGGTTCTTTTGATTGCAATGGTGGCAATGGTGGAGTATAAAAGCATTCGGTTGGGCGATGATGACTAGAGCTGTTTTGATTTGGCTGGCCGAGGAGATGAGTAAAGGAAAGGAGGAGATAGAGGAGGAGGGATCTTATACTAGGATAAGAAATATAAAAATGGGTTGGAGGAAGAACAAAACACTGCCAGAAAATAAGTGCAAGGCTAGCTACAAATTTCACGTTCAGAATATTAAACGGGGCATGTGGATTTCATACCAATTTATTTCAAAATAGGCAGGTATAAAATTGTTTATTACAGAATTGTGCCCGTTAATTATTGCGTTTTTATTTGAACAAAAAACAGTTGTTTCATTTTTGTGTCATATATATTTTCTTCTTGTTATGCCTGATATTAAAATTGAAATAATGGCACGTGTAGGAGGTAAAATTACAGTGAACTATAATATCTTGTTTTCATTCGAAATAGAACGTAGGCATTCCTTAGCAAACCGGGGCAACAGTGCTTTGTTGTTGATAAAGACCTGTTAAAATGATGGTACACAAGCACAGTATATCTTAAAAATGAGCGTATCGTTCATGTTTGGATACATGTGCTTTTCAGAATGTGTTTGTTATGAAGAACTGAAGTGATGTCACATCTAACCGGAGCACTGATATCCATTTATTTTGGGGGTAATTGAATTAAGAATGCTTTTTGTGAGACGTGAACCAATAGATGATCTAGGTTCCTAACGGAGACATTTAAAAACTGCATTTACAAATACTATTTATCAATGCTCACTCAGTGAAGTGTCTCTTCCATTGGGATCATGCTGCTAGCTAGATGCTTCTCTAAATACAATGGATTTGCTGAAAAGAAATCATGGAAAGTCAGTTCTAGTTTCACCATATAAAATGGTTAATTTAGCCAATCAAAATAATTTTCAGTGTAGCATTGAAGCTGTTACTCAGTCTGTGACGATTTTAAAAACACTGCCCTTCTACAAATCCTTGAATTCTGATAGGTTTTTCTGTAGAAAAATATTCTACAAGTGCTGTATTTTACTGGCAGGGTGAATATCCTTTCCCTGCAAGACTAGTGACTATACAGAAACAATGACATACATCACTGTTCATGCTCACATGTTTAATTCATCCCCACAGTAGTATTTAGACACTTTTGTTGTACATTTTATTGTTTTTGTTTGTTTGTTTTTATTCATTTTTAGTGAGGTAAAAATACTTTATTTCTGCAAATATAAGTGTATTTTATAAATAGCGTGTTAGTCTTATAGTAGCATAATGAGAACACATTGAATAGTCACTGACATTTTTAACTCAAATTGGGAAATGTAGTTATCACACCGAAGACAAACAAATGAAATAATGAACAACATTTACTTGAATGATAATATAGCTTAGTCAATACCACTTATCATTCTATAGTAGTGTACACACATACACAAGCATATGCACAAAGTATTGTAGAAAAGGGTTGAGACACTCAAGAGCATTAAGTTTAAAGCTAATTATCTAGTATTTGTTTAATCAGAAAATGACAGATAAACTTAGCATAAATCCAATCAAACATGAGCCCCCTCTTTCCTAACAACATGGATAAACAGGCTAATTACATTTTGCTTAGCAAGGCAATTCAAAAAGAACTCTCCAGGCCATAACCTTTCCAGTGTATGAAGTATTCTAAGTGGTCACGGCGTATTCTGGAATCCAAAATCTCTTGGACTTCATATTCTTCAGAACCATCGACAATAACAGGAGCAGGTGGGGTGTCATTGCGCTGAGGAAACCTGTTAGAGTTCCATGGCTTTAAGAGGGAGACATGAAATACAGGGTGTAATTTGTACCTTGGAGGGAGTTCCAAGCGTGCTACCACTGGGTTGATCATTTTGATTATCTTGAACGGACCAATGTAGCATGGTCCTAGCTTCCTGGAAGGAAGTTATGTGTGGACAGCCAGACCTTATCAACTGGCGCAGAGAGTGGCTCCAGGGACCTTTTGTTGTCTGCATGTCTCTTTTGGTGTTATGGGGCTTTACTTAATGTGCTTAGTAACATTTGTCTGTGTTGTCTCAAAGTGTTCAATCAGTGAGCAACTTCAGGGACAGTAGTGGGACAAGGAAGGTTTGGTAAGGCAAGGGGATGGTAACCATATTTGGCATACAAAGGGGTATACTTTGTGGACTGATGAACATAATTATAGTAAAAGTCAGCAGTTTGGAGCAGAAATAGACAATCATCTTGTAAATATTAAGCATAGTCGCGAATTTAATGTTCCAGGGTTTGATTGGTTCGTTCAGTTTGGCCATTGGACTGGGGGGTGATAGGCAGAGGATACGTTTTGTGGGATTCTCAGTTGTTTACAGAAATGAGACCAGAAGCGTGATGTGAACTGTGTACCGCGGTCTGTGATGATGGAATGAGGTGCATAAAATGAGCCATCTTCGTGAACCTGTCCACAATTACCACGATGGTAGTGTATTTGTGAGGAGGCAGATCCACAATAAAGTCCATGGTAATATCAGTCCATGGACCAGAAGCCAGTGGAATAGGATGAAGAAGTCCAGTGGGTTCAGCACGAGATGTCTTTGAATTGATTTGGAACAAACAAACTGTTTGATTATTTGTCTATCTACTCCTTTCTAAATTGATTGTGCGCATGTCTTCTAGAAGTAAATCACAACGGACACATTGCAGGTTTATGAAGGACTTCAGAATGGCCTTTATTCCAGGGGGTGCGATTCCCTTTTAAAGCAGAAATACGTCATGTACAGAGTCACAGTTAACATAAAGTATACATTCATCAACTGGTTAACAGTCTAAGGGGTCTTGTCTAAACCCAACCTACTGGGCGTAACCCCAGCATCATCACATGACATTTCTTTGTATCCCAGCCCCATTCCAGCTCCATTTTACTACACATGGCATGTTTCTATAGAGAGCTTTAATTGCACAAAGGAAGTGGGGGAGGAGTTAGTAAAGGAAGCTGTTCCTTTAACACAGGAATTTGTTACACAAGGCTTGCTCGATGGGAAGGGGGGAGGGTAGCAGGGTGGGAGGAATTTACAGAGGAAATAGTTACTGAGCACACAGAGGGGGGAAGGGAATCTTTTACTCTAGCAGCCAGTTTTACACAGTGAACACAGATTCACAGAATAAATAGACATTAGTAAATAGACATTTTATCCATTCAAGTATTTTGTCCATAACAGTCCCCCCTTAAAATGGCTATTTTACTAAGAACTACTTTATCTAACCCTAATACTGTCCCGACAGAAAAATAACAAAAGGCTATCCTTGCACATCTGTCTGAACAGGCCTCGAACGCGTCACTGCGCTGATGTCCTATAGCGGCTTATCCACTACTTCTCCCATGACAGACTTCTGCCCATAGAGACAGGTGATATCTCTGAGTGTCCCTCAGAGGAATTAGTTGTTGCTTTAGTGCGGTGAGACTGTAAGGGTGTATGTGGTGTATCACTGTCTATGTCGTCAATCTCTTGGTGAAGGAAAGTCGGAGTAGTCTGGTCGATTGTCTGATCAACTGTCTTTTGTAGGCATTTCTTAAGACAGGGTAACACATAACAAACAAGAAGAGTGAGGATGTTTATCGTTATTAAAATGGCCACACCTATTTGGGCCAGAGCACCTTGCCATCCAGTCATCCATCCAAACCATCTTTCCCACGGATCTGTGGCCCCAGAATTCCGTTTGAGCTCACTGGACAAACTATTTAACTTTTCTATTGCCAATGTTACCTTACCATTAGGGCCTGTATTATCTGGGATATAGGTACAGCATGTCATGGTGTCTGGGAGTATTTTACATACTCTCCCTTTTCCTGCCAAAATCATCTCTAAGGCCATTCTATTCTGGAAGATCATCTGAGAGGTAGCTTGTAACCGCCCTATCCCACCATATATCCCATAACAAGTATAGTTCCCTGGATATATAGTAATGCTTTCGTCTGGGTTAATATTTTTTTTTTTTTAAATTTGTAGTTTATTGTTTTTCAACATAATAATAGGGGGGGGGTTACAGAAGAAAAAAGGCGGGGGGGAGGTAGTCACATTGCATTTCCTGCATACAATCAGTTATGTTTTACAGCATGAGGCACAGAACACATCACAGTTACTCTGGTCATTTCGAGCCAACACCTTATGATCCGATCTCCGCAGTGCCCTGTATGTGGTTACCAGGTCGTCAAACCCTACTTTGTCACTAAGACCCTGTTTGCCCGGCCGTCGCCGTCTCCCTCTAGTGTCGAAGCTCCCTGATCATGGGTTGTCCCTTTCCGTGATGATTTATAGTGGGGTCATGGCTTGTACATCCTCGGTTATGGTATGGGGATTAGTGAGTGGGGGTGGTCCTAGGACCAGTGTTTCTCTGTTGTAGTTCATTGGTCTGGGTTGTCCGCTCTCCAGGAGCGCCATAATTCCCACATACTCAGGAAGCGTTGTGGGGACGAGTGTGTTTTAACGAAGTGTGTTTCGTAAAGTAGTTGTTTGTCTATTTCTTGTATAAGGGACTGGATGTTGGGGTGTTTGTCAGATTTCCAGAGTCTGGCTATTGGTTTTTGGGCGGTTAGTAGAACATGGCATATCAGTTTCTTCGCCCCAGTAGGTACGGCAATCGGGAGGTCTAGCAACAAGAAGGTTGCGGGTTCGAAGGGTATGTCGGTGTTGGTGGCTTCAGTAATGAGCTTGTGTAACTCTTTCCAAAATCTAACTAGGCGGGGGCATCTCCACCAGATGTGCATGACTGTTCCGTGGTCTCCTATGCATCTCCAGCATGATGGAGATGAGTGAGGGTATTGCTTATGTATGCGGGTCGGGACCATGTACCACCTATATAGCGTTTTTCGGTGTTGTTCCAGTAACGGGGCTGATTTAATCAACCTCTTCGTGGAGGATATAATGTGTTTCCATTTAGTTTCGGGAACTTTGGTACCTAGGTCCAAGTCCCAATGTAGTGCTTGTGATGATTTGTGGAAGGGTATGTATGTTTGGAGAGTTTTGTAACAGTCCGAGAGTGGCTTGAATGTGGGTGGCATTTTCCCCGATACGCCTATTTTCTCCCAGGTAGAGGGTTCCACCGGCTTGAGTTGGCCCGGAGGTTTCGTCTTGGTTCGTGTGTTGAAAAGGGAGTGGAGTTGGATGTGCGAATATTGTGATGTTTGTGGGATGTTGTAGGTGGATCTGAGCTTAGCGAAGGTCATGAGTTTGCCTGCTTCACAAATGTGTGACAGGTGGGTGATCCCCTTGGCCTTCCATGGTGTCGCATGGAACGTTGGGATGCAATATGTTATGGCTTCGATTGGGGTTGCCAATCGAAGTAACCTGTTTCTAAATGCACTCTATGTGTTTCCCAGACCTGTAGTGCCAATGCAAGTTGGGCGGGTGGGAGTGGGATGGCCGGCCTGTCCTTTTTTGGTAACCACAGCAGGTGTGGGACTTGGAAGGGTAAGATGGCCATATGCTCCATCTCCCCCTTGATCAAATGTGGCAGTAGGGAGGACAGTACTGCGGCTTGGTAATACAGTTTGACATTAGGGAACGCCATTCCCCCTTGTGCTGTGGGGGCCAGGAGCACTTTTTGTGAGATTTGTGCTGTCTCTGTCCCCAAGTGAATTGTAGCAGTTTGGCCTGGATGATATTGAAGTACGATGGTGGTATTCGTAGGGGTAGGTTCCTAAATAAATATTGAAGTTTCGGTAGTATGGTCATTTTTAGTGCTACTATCCGCTCCGACCAAGTTAAAAATAACCGGTCCCAGCCCCTCATTGTTTTGAGACAGTCCTCCCAAACCCTGCTATAGTTCGCTGGGAACATATCTGTGGCGTTTTTAGTAAATGTCAGGCCTAGATATTTTATGTCCTTTTTCCTCCATTCGAATTGGTAGTCTTTGTGTAGGTTCGCCAAGACTTGTGGGTCTAGGCGTAGACCCAATGCTTGCGTTTTGGAGGTATTGAGGGAGTAATAGGACAGTGTTCCATATTCATGTATGAGTCGCATTATATGTGGGAGAGATCTCTCCGGGTGGGAGATGTACAGCAGGATATCATCTGCGAATGCCCCTATCTTTATTTGGCGGCCATGACAATCCACTCCTGTTATTTCTGCTCGGGTTCTGATCCCTGTGAGTAGCGGCTCCAAGGCTAAAACATAAAGTAGGGGAGACAGGGGGCACCCCTGTCGTGTGCCATTAGTAATTTTAAAGGGGTTAGACAGAAAACCCGCTTGTAGTACTCTCGCAGTGGGGTGTGAGTATAGGGCAAATATCTGTGTAATGAGTTGGCGTGGGAAACCATATCTCTGCAACACCCTGTGGAGGATAGGCCAACCCAGGCGGTCAAACGTTTTTTCGGCGTCTAGTGCTAAGAGCAGTCTGCCCGGGCCGGATCTCCTCATCCTCTCTAACACGAGAGCCAGTTTCCGGGTATTGTCCAGGCCCTGTCTCCCCAACACAAATCCCGTTTGATCGTCATGTATGAGTGTCGGTAGTATTTTCCATATTCTGGTCGCTAAGATCTTGGCGTAAATCTTAGCATCCGTATTTAACAACGAAATGGGTCTGAAATTCTTACATTGGTCAGTGGGTTTTCCCGGTTTGGGTATGGTCACTATCGTTGCTAAGAGCATCTCAGTTGGGAGTACTCCTGTGTCTGTGGCCTTCTGGAACACCTGTACGAGTCTGGGGCCAAGTATTTCCGCGAACGTTTTGTAATATATATTAGGGAGTCCGTCTGCTCCTGGGGATTTCCCTGTAGGGAGGTGTTGTATGGTGTGTAGAACCTCAGTAAGAGTGATGGGTTCGAGTAGTGCATTTCTTTGGTATCTATCTATACTGGGGAGAGGGAGCTGGTCCAAGTAGCTTTGGATAGCGTGTTCATCTAAGGGGGTTGTGCCTGGGTGATCTCCCAAATTATACAAGTCAGAGTAATATTTTGCAAACTCTTGGGTGATATCTAGGGGGTTTTGTATTTTGGTCCCATCTGGGCCTTGTAAGTAAGCTATTTTGGAGGCTGACAATTTCTCCCTCAGCCGATTGGCTAGATGTTTTGTCGCTTTCCCGCTATGATGGTTGCCTTCATTCTATGAAGTAGGGACGCAGTTTTGGCTGCCTGTAGCTGATGTAGCTGGTTAGTCAGAGATTGGATCTGGTTTGCTAGGGGTCGGGAGGGGGATCGTTTGTTTTGGGTAGTAAGGGCCGCTAGTTTCATTTGGCACTCAAGTATGGTGGTTTGTCTTTGTTTTTTGAGGTAGGATGAGCGCCTAATAAATAGGCCTCGTACTACGGCTTTGTGTGCCATCCACACAGTCTGTTCTGACACTTCCCCAGTAGAGTTTGTCTGAAAATAAGCAGTGAGTTCAGCTTTTATTTGATTCATGAAGTCAGGGAGTCATTCTCCAAGTCCCCCGTCCCTTAACCCCTTAAGGACACAGCTTCAGAAGCTTGACTTACGCTTAATGACACAAGCAATTTTTGCATTTTCTTGCTGTTTGCGTTCAACTGCAATTTGCATCTCTCTCATTTATTGCACTGACACATATTATATACTGTTTTTTAAAGGACAGAAAGGGCTTTAATTTGATATAACATATATATATATAAATGCTTACTTATTATAAAAAAAATACAGAAAAATGCAAAAAAAATGAAAAATATTGTTTTTTTTTACAGTTTTTGCAATAATAATGTGTGCATAATTAGTGCAGGTTAAGGAAAGTAATTAAAAATAAATTTATTTATTTGTTCTGATTTACAGAATATATAATGTGTCTGGGATTTTAAGTTTTTTTTGGTAGTTACAGGTCACAAAGCACAAGGAGTAAAATAAACTTTTAATGTGGAGCGATTTTAGAATTTGGTATGTTTGTCTTGTAAGCTTAATAGCCATAAAAGAAAACAAAATTGCCACACAAAAGTATATATTTATATAAAGTAGACATCACGGGCTATTTACCTAAGGTTGTTTTGACACTTTCTACATAGCCATTTCACCGCCAACCTCTGCTAAATATTGGTGTAAAATTGTGTTCTTTTTGGTTTTTGGCACACAAACTTATAACAGAGAAATTCTCGTGTATATTTTGTAAAGTTGGTGTGTGCTATTCCTGTACAAAGTTTTATTTTGTGTTCAGTTACATCTGCTGAGTAAAATGACACCCCATTGTATGTCTTTTGCACTATTTCGTGAAGTTACAGTGCCATACAGGATACCTGTCCTTTTCAGTATTCACAGTAGAATTTTGAGAGATGGATTTAATGAGCCTTAGCTTCCATTTTGGGGTATTATAACAGTTTGGCTGTTCAAAAACCCCCACAAAGGCCTACCATTTGTAAAAGTAGACACTCCAGGGTATCTTATAAGGTGCATATTGTGCCTTAACATGCCCCCATTTTTTCACCAATATATGCCAAAGTATGTGGTAAAAAATAATTTTGTGCATTTTTTACATACGGATTGCATTTTTGCTGGGCGTTTTGTATATTTCATATGTGCCACTAAGTTCAAACCCCCCAAATTATGCTCAGCTAAGTCTTCTGAGTAAAATGACACCCCATATGAATGTCTTTGGCACTATTTCGTGAAGCTACAGTGCCATATAGGAGACCTGTCCTTTACAGTATTCACAGTAGAATTTTGAGAGATGGATTTAATGAGCCTTAGCTTCCATTTGGGGTATTATAACAGTTTGACTGTTCAAAAAACCCCCACAAAGGCCTACCATTTGTAAAAGTAGACACTCCAGGGTATCTCATAAGGTGCATATTGTGCCTTAACATGCCCCCATTTTTTCACCAATATATGCCAAAGTATGTGGTAAAAAATAATTTTGTGCATTTTTTACATACGGATTGCATTTTTGCTGGGCGTTTTGTATATTTCATATGTGCCACTAAGTTCAAACCCCCAAATTATGCTCAGCTAAGTCTTCTGAGTAAAATGACACCCCATATGAATGTCTTTGGCACTATTTCGTGAAGCTACAGTGCCATATAGGAGACCAAGCCATATCCGTTTTTACCAAACTTTGAATTTTGACGCTGGGCCTATGTGCAATTTCCAAGCATCTTCGCAGGTTTTAAATTCAAACTACCCCACAAAGGCCTACCATTTCTTAAAGTAGACACCCCAGGGTGTTTCAAAAGGTATAGTTTGAACCTTAGCGTGGGATCATTTTTCCGCTAGCTTGTACCAGATGTAGTGGTAATAAGCGTTTTTTCTGCCTTTTTGACATACAAAGTGAGTTTGCACAGTATATTTTGCAAACCTTATGTGTGCTACGACTGTATAATACTTCATATGTTGCTCAGCTATGTCGGCTGAGTACAGCAATACCCCCGTATGTACCTTTGCCAGGTATGTGTGGACATCGGAGGGGCACATTTGGGACACAGCCATTCCAGTTTTTTTCAAACTTTGAATTTTTATGCTGTGCCTATGTCCCATTTTAGAGTATTTTACCAGGCTATATAATCCAAATTCCCCATAAAGCCATACCATTTCTTAAAGAAGACATCCCAGGGTATTTCAAAAGGCATATTTTGAACCTTAGCGTGGGATCATTTTTCCGCTAGCTTGTACCAAGTGTAGTGGTAATAAGCATTTTTTCTGCCTTTTTGACATACAAAGTGAGTTTGCGCAGCATATTTTGCAAACCTTATGTGTGCTATGACTGTATAATACTTCATATGTTGCTCAGCTATGTCGGCTGAGTACAGCAATACCCCTGTATGTACCTTTGCCAGGTATATGTGGATGTTGAAGGGGCGCATTTGAGACGCAGCCATTCAGTTTTTTTCTAACTTTGAAGTTTTACGCTGTGTCCATGTTCCAATTTGGAGTAGTTTAGACGGTTGGTTATTGAAACTTCCCCACAAACACATACTATTTATTAAAGAATACACCCTGGGGTAATTCAAAAGGCATATTTTGAACCTTGGCGTGGGATAATTTTTTCTCTAGTTTGCTCCAGGTGTAGTGGTAATGAGCGTTTTTAAAATGTATTTTTTTACTTTTTATAACTTTTTTACTTTTAAAAACTAGTTTTTAAACTTTTGTTTTGCTTATAAATTTTTTTAAACTTTCCTAAACTTTCTTAAAACTTTTTTACAGATTTAACATTTTTCTAAGCTTTTTTTTTTACCGTTAACCCCTAACTAGCAGTACGCAGCACTAACAGTAAATTCCCCATTTTCCCATAACTCCCACCCACCCCAGCTAGCAAAATATATAGTTATAAAATATTTAAATTAATTAATTAAATAAATTGAACCCCTGAGGGTTAAAAAAATAAATAAAAGTTAATCCTCAGGGGTTAAAAAAAATTAGATCACAGTATAATACTGTGATCTCTATTTGATCGCTGTAGGCAGTGATCGACTGGCAGGGAAGGGGTTAATTTTTATTTGGACTAGGTAAAGTGTGTTTTTTTTGTTTTTTTTACTTAAATGTTATTAAAACATTTTTTTAAACTTAATTTTTAACTTTTTAAAGTTTCTTTTAAAACTTTTTTTAACGTTAACCCCTAGTTAGCCTAACGCCAAATCCCCCAATTCCCCACTAACTTCCACCCACCCCAGCTATCTAAATATATAAGTAAAAAATAATTTAATTAATTAATTTAATTAATTTAACCCCTGAGTTAAAAAAAAAAAAAGAATTAACCCTCAGGGGTTAAAAAAAAAAATCAGATCATAGTAAAATGTAATCCCTGCCAATTGATCACTGTAGTCAGTGATCAATTGGCAGGGAAGGGGTTAATTTTTTATTAAAATGGGTAAGGGGGGGGGACTTTAAATAAACTTTATTTTTTTTTACAGCAGGGGGCAGGATCAGCACTGATCCGGCTCCCTGCACTTCACACAGAACCCGGAAGTGCAGGGAGCCGGTAGGTGAGTATAGAGAGCACATGTGCTCGCTCAGACTTGTGGTCAGAGCGAGCACATGTGCTGGGCAGCTTGACCGGGTGCTCCCGGTATGCCTCCAATGCAGAGGCATACCGGGAGCACCATTAACCCCGCGATCGCCGCGATAGCGGCGATCCGGGGTTAATTTTACCGCGTGACGGACGAGGTCCGTCACCCGTCGTTAAGGGTCTCCCCTGTGTGACGGACCTCGTCCGTCACCCGTCCTGAAGGGGTTAAACTGAAAAGAGTTATGTAACACCAAGTACACTGGGTTATGGTCAGACCAAGTGATGTCACCCATAGAGCATGTAGAGACTTGTGCTAATGTGGGTTGATCCACGTAAAAAGTGTCTATGCGGGTATACGTGTTGTGTGCCGTCGAGTGAAAAGAGTAGTCTCTTTTCCCTGGATGCAGCACTCTCCAACTATCATATAGGTTGTGTAGTGTGAGCAGTTTGGACACTGCTTTGCACATGGAATTTACGGTCGCCTGTCTCGTCCCCTGAGGTAGGGCAGTTGTGTCAACATCTGGGGAAGTGAAGAAATTAAAGTCTCCGCAGAGCACCAGTCTACCTTGCCTATATTTATCTATGTCTTGCAGAAGACGTCTGAGGTATTTTTCCGTCCCAGTGTTTGGAAAGTAGGCAGATACCAAGGTATATTGGGCGTTATTAAAAAGACCTACTAGTAAGACATATCTCCCTTGGGCATCTACTAATTTCGCTTGCTCCTGAAATGCCACATCTTTATGTATGAAGATGGAGGCCCCTTTCGTTTTACTTTCTGACAGGGCATGATATTGGTTTGGGTATAGTTTGGTAAAGATTGCAGGGGCCCTGGTCTTTTTAAAATGAGTCTCTTGAATACAGGCGATGTCGATCCCTTGTTCTTTTAGTTCTTGTAATAGTAGCCTTCGTTTACCTGGGGTATTCAGCCCCTTGACGTTATAGGTTAGTAATTTCATTTAGGAGTGTCAGTTGAAAATAGTGTGCTTAGTCGGGTCAGTTTTCGCCCCTCTATAATTAGAACAGGTTACTGCAATTGTCCTGAGTGAGGGTTGTGCACTGTGCGCGCTACTGTGAGGTCTTAGAATGTGACCAGTCAGGGGTTGAGGGGAGTAAATAGGGGGGAAAACTAGGGTGAAAAGAACAAGTGGGTAAGTTACCCATTTCGGCTCCAAGGAGTGGGGCCGTACCCTGCAGCCTAGCATGGAGGCGCGGCTGTCGGGGGGGTGGAGGTGAAGTCGGCAGTTCTCTAGGTCGTGCACCATAGAAAAAGCAAAAAACCGTGAGCAGTATTAACATATAACTATGATAGTTAACAATGTGTGCAACCCGCTTCTAACATGCTATTCTTTACCGTTGAACTACTTGTACTCTATAATAGCATAGTGTATAGGATATAGTTCCCAGTACTGTTCAGCCCCCGGTAGGGGGTTTATTAGTACCGCTAATCGGGCAGAGACAGATTCTAGCCAGCAACAGCGCTTTCTGTTATGTCTTGTGCATGTACTCAGGTAAGTATCAACTATCAGTACATAGATTATATGAGAGTGTCAACAGGTTTGCTCTCGCAGTAACAACTCTAACGGAGTTATGCGTCTATCTATCAACTGTTATATACATCACATAGTTACGTATGCCGGTAGGAATGTTCAGTTCTCATTGTGTTGTCCACTCCGGGGACATCCGCGGAACTTTAGCTGCTTTGGTGGGGTTCTGGATCGGGATTCCCCATTCTTTCAGCTGTTGGACACCTTGCGCCACTGTGTTGATGGAGTGTATTGCATCGTGGTGGGAGATTAGGAGTTTAGCCGGGTAGCCCCAGCGGTAGTTCACGTTGTATTCCCGTAGGGCGGAGGTGACCGGTCCCATGGTTTTCCTGAAGTGTAGCGTGTCCGCTGAAAGATCCGCAAAGATCTTTATGGAATTGTAGGTTTCTGGCATGCCCGCTTTTCTGCTGGCTTTCATTATCCTCTCTTTGGCGTGGAAGAAGTGAATCCTCGCAATTACATCTTGTGCGGCTGTTGTGGGCAGGTGTTTTGGCCTGCGTAGCCTGTGTGCTCTGTCTATGATGAGTTGATCCGGGTGGGTTTCTGGTGTGAGGCTCTGGAACAGATCTAACAAATAGTTGTGCAATTCTGCATTTGATACAGATTTCGGGATCTCCCGGAATCTGAGGTTATTCCTCCGAGCTCTGTCTTCCATGTCTGCTAGTTTTAACCTGTGTGTTGCTAGGGAGTCATCCAGTTCCTGCAGTTTGTCAGCTAAGCTGTTGTGTGCCACTGCATACTCATCCATCTTTGTTTCTATCTGGGAGGTACGGTTGCCAATGTCATGGATGTCCTTTTGTATTTAAGCTGTCAGTACTTGGAGCTGTTTTTTTATATTGAGCTGTATGGAATCTGAGAATTCAGCCATCATTTCCCTGATGGCTCTCATTGTCAGGGGCTGTTCGTTGTCTGTATGTGCAGGTGATGTCTGAGGTGAGGGGGAGTGTTCCCGCCTGTTTTGGCCGCCGCCATCTTGCTCCTCACCCTGCTTGGAGGCCGCGGTTTTTGTGAGGAAGAACGAGGCTCGGTCCGACTTCCCTGCTTTCGTTTTCTGGCGCTGTGACATCACGGGAGGTTGCTCAATGCAGTCTGGTAGGTGATCGCTCGGTGTTCCACTTATCCGTTGCTCTGCACGGTTTTCTCGCCGGGAGCTGCTCCTACATGCGTCTGCTCAGCTCCGGCGGTAAGCCACGCCCTCCTGGGTTAATATTTTAGTAATGATTGGGTATTCATTTTCCATGACTCGCATGCTGACCGATTAGGTTTAAATATAGTGTAGAGACTTTAAAAGCATACCTCATATCCGGAGGAAGGTTCAGGGATACAGTACCTGTGTGAGACCTCGCTCCTCCGCAGACATAGCAGTTAGACTTGTTATGTTTATTCGCATTGTATTTCATCCATTCAAGCCACAAGTTAGTGTCAGAGAAACCTGTCTCTACAGCCATAGTATCCTCAAATCTGGGATGACTACCATGACGTTTTCCCTCCTTTTTTTTTTTTCCCTCTCTTGTTGTTTCTATTCCCCTCCTTGTGGGTGCTGCTGCTGCTGAGCTAATTAGGAGGAGTGCCCTTTAATTTCCCACTACTGACTCACAGAGCTTGCTCACTGGAGTTTGCTTGAAAGTAGGCTATTTAAAGTAGTCTCTTTAAGTAGGGGTTAAAACAACAGGAGTTTGTTGGAGAACTGGTGGACTGTGGTTGGTATTAGTTAATACCAAGTGGAAAAAAAGCAGGTTTAATTTTTTGTATTTTGTATTTTTTGTTTTGTATTTTATTTTTATTTTTTTTAACTTTTTTCCCCTTTTCATATATATTTTTTTTCCTTGCTGGATATATTTAAACTTTGTCCCTTTTCTTCTTCTATATTTTCTCCTTGCTGGTTTTATTTAAAAGTTTTCCCTCCTTTTTTTTTCTCTCTTGTTGTTTCTATTCCCCTCCTTGTGGGTGCTGCTGCTGCTGAGCTAATTAGGGGGAGTGCCCCTTAATTTCCACCTGTGTGGGATTTGTATTGCCAATATAAACCCACTACTGACTCACAGGAGTTTGCTTGAAAGTAGGCTATTTAAAGTAGTTTCTTTTAAGTAGAAGTTAAAACAACAGGAGTTTTTAAACTATAAGCGAGTTTAAACGAAGAGGGTAAATACTGTTTTTGCTCACTTGTGTTTTTTGGTAACTGGGGATGAGTGCTAGCAAGATTACAAGTTTTACTCAGTGTACATCCTGCTGCATGTATGCATGCCTGGATAAATCTGGCCAGGGTCAATACCTTTTCTTTTCTTGTAGCTCGTATTGGAGATCTGGAGAGGCAAATTGCAACACTGAGGGAGATTAATAATCTTGAGAGGAGTCTGCTGCTCACTGAGCAGAGTTTAGTGGGTGCAGGTAGTGGAGTGGGAGGAGATGAGACAGTTGGAGAACAGGCACATAGCTGGGTAACAGTGGGGCGAGGAAGCAGAGGGGGAGGGAAGAGGAAAGGTTTAGCTAGTCCTGATCTAGTGCAGCCTAACAGATTTGCCCGTTTGAGTAAAGATGTTGAGAGCATCAGCTCAGGAGTAGCTGTACTGCCGTGGGAACAGCACCTCTAGTACGGGTGGGGTTGAGAGGGTAAGGAAGTCTAGACAGGTTGTGTTGGTAGGGGACTCTATTATTAAGAGAGTAGATAGGGTAATCTGCCACTCTGATCGACTCAACCGGATAGTTTGCTGTCTCCCGGGTGCTCGGGTCTGGCATGTTGCCGACAGAGTGGAGGGATTATTGGGAGGGGCTGGGGATGACCCAGCTGTCATGGTCCATATTGGTACCAATGACAAAGTCAGAGAAAATGGAAGGTCCTAAAGAGTGAGTTCAGGGATCTAGGAAGTAAGCTAAACAAAAGGAACTCCAAGGTAATATTTTCAGAAATATTACCTGTACAGCGCGCTACAGCAGAAAGGCAGCGGGAGATTAGAGAAGTCAATGCGTGGCTGAAATCTTGGTGCAGGAAAGAGGGTTTTGGGTTTTTTAGAGAACTGGGCCGATTTTGCGCTTGGGTACAACCTGTATAGTCGTGATGGATTGCACCTAAATGGAAGAGGGTCTGCTGTGCTAGGGGATAGGATGGCTAGAAGGTTGGAGGAGAGGGTCAAAGCAATCTAGAAAATGGAGATAGGATAGAAATGAGATGGGCTTTAGCTCAGAACAAAGAGGGTGGAGATGGAGGGAGAGGAAAGCTCAGAACAGAGGAGGTATGTAATATTGATAATTCACAAAAAGTACAAATGACTCATGGTAATATTAAATGTATGCTTACTAATGCAAGGAGCCTATATAACAAAATGGGGGAACTAGAGGCAATAGCATACACTAAACAATACGATATAATAGGCATAACAGAAACATGCTGGGATGAGACACATGACTAGGCAGTTAACTTAAATGGGTACACGTTATTTAGGAAGGATAGGAAAAACAAGAAGGGTGGTGGAGTCAGGGGCGTATTAGCCGCGAGGCAAACAAGGCATTTGCCTTGGGCGGCATTTTTCAGGGGGCGGCAAAAAACACCGCCCCCCAAATGCCCAGGGCAAATGCCTAGTTAGCCTTGCAGCTAACTGACATCCCAAGCGGGCGGGCGGCGCTGGCAGGCGGGCGGCTGTCGAGGGAGCACTTCCTATGAGCTGACTGCTCAGCTCCCTCGCGCGCCGCAGAGTGAGGCTGGGAGCCGGAAGATGACGTCATCTTCCGGCTCCCAGCCTCACTCTGCAGCCGGCCCGCGAGGGAGCTGAGAAGATAGCTCATAGGAAGTGCTCCCTCGCCAGCCGCCCGCCTGACCTGCAGCCACCGGACCACCAGGGATAGAGACCCCCCCCCCAGCACTCCCAAAGGTAAGGAGGTTGGGGGGGATTTAAATTAAAAAAAAAGTTAATGTGTGTGTGTGTGTGTTTGTGTCTGACTGTGTTTGTGAGTGTGTGTGTGTTTGTGACTGTGTGTGTGTGTCTGACTGTGTGTGTGTGTGTGTGTGTTTGTGTCTGACTGTGTGTGTGTGTGTGTGTGTGTGTTTGTGTCTGACTGTGTGTGTCTCTGACTGTGTGTGTGTGTGTTTGACTGTGTGTGTGTGTGTATTTAGAAGGTGGGGCGGGGGGAAGGGTTGGGTGGGGGTGGCGCGGGGGGAGGGGGGCGCCTGAGTTTTGTCCTGCCTAGGGCAGCACAAAACCAGGATACACCACTGGGTGGAGTATGTTTGTATGTCAGCCATGAGTTAAATTAAAATCTTAGGCATGTGGAGTGTGACGAGGAAAATGTGGAAGCTTTATGGGTAGATATTTGCTTGGGGCAAACAAAGGGAAATAAGTTATTGGTTGGGATATGTTATAAACCACCAAATGTAAATATTAATGAGGAAGAACTGCTGTTAAAGCAAATTGGGAAAGCTGCAATTCGGGATAACACGTTAATTATTGGAGATTTTAATTACCCGAACATAAATTGGGATAGAGGGACTAGTACTTCAGCAAGGGGAATCCGGTTTTTGAATGCGTTAAATGACACCTTTATGTCACAACTGGTACAAGCACCAACTAGAAAGGATGCTGGTCTGGATCTCGATATAACAAACAATGTTGATCTTTTAACCAACATTCAAGTAGGGGAGCATTTGGGAAATAGTGATCACAATATGGTAACTTTTGAAATAAACTCACAAAAGCAAAAGCACGTGGGGTATATTAAAACGTATAATTTTTAAAAAGCCAATTTTAATAAGATTAGGGCAGCTCTACAACTATCGACTGGCATAAACTCCTTAGTGATAAAAACACTGAGGAAAAATTGAAATTATTCAAACAAATATTAGAAAGGTACATATATAAAAGAAACAAATTAAAACCAATGTGGCTTAGTAGAGAAGTAAAACAAGAGATTAAAAATAAGAAAAGGGCATTTAAAGCATTTAAATCAGACAAATCAGAGGCATCCTATATAAGATATAAGGAAGCCAATAAAAGTGGCTAAACTAGAAAATGAGAAATTGATAGCCAAAGAATGCAAAACCAACCCCCCAAAATTTTTCAAGTACATTAATTCTAAAAAAAACAAAAAATGAAAGTGTAGGTACACTGAAAATAGAGATGGGTCTGTTAGTCAATGAAGACCAGGAAAAGGCAGACATTTTAAATAACTATTTTTCTTCAGTATATATTAGTGAGGATCCTATGGCAAGAGATATGCAAATGATTGCTGCAACAAACTTGCAGATAACTTGTGATTGGATAACTCGAGACAAGGTGCTACAGCAGCTCCGTGGCCTGACGGTATCCACCCACGAGTACTTAAGGAGCTAAGTGGGGAAATAAGTGAACCTCTCTATATAATTTTTCAAGATTCTTTTGTTTCAGGTATTGTACCAGAGGATTGGATGAAGGCAGCTGTTGTTCCTATAGTTAAAAAGGGTTCAAAATCCTTGCCTGGAAATTATAGACCTGTGAGCTTAACTTCTGTGACTGGGAAATTATTTGAATGGCTATTAAGGGATAGTATTCAGGAATTCATTGGCAAGAACTGTGTTATTAGCAATAATCAGCATGGTTTTATGAAACATAGGTCATGTCAAACTAACCTAATTGCATTCTACGAAGAAGTAAGTAGAAGTATAGATCAGGGTGTTGCAGTGGATGTGAT